GCCTCGGTCGCCTCTCTGCCTCTGATGCAGAGCCCTCGTCCGAGCCTTCCCCAGCCTCCAGGACTGGCCCATGCTCCTCCCCAACCTCCTCACAGGCCACAATAGACTAGAGGATTTGATTTCCAAGTAGCTACCTCCCCTCGTTTCCATTCCTGAGGGACCAGCCAACGTAGCCTAGGAGGGATCTATCCTGCTTTTCACCACAGTCCCGGGATTCACGAAAAAGGCATCTAATTCCAAAGTCAAAAAATAAGAGTGACTTTGGATACTGGAAGGGGTTTGCCCTCTTGTTCTTCCTTTCCTTAAAGAAAATCTCCCCCCTAATGGTTGAGGTGACCAGGAAGCCCTGTTTCCGCTCAGCCATGCACCACGATGGTGCAGTGGTTAGAGTGCAGTACTGCAGGCTCCCTCTGCTGCCTCCTGCCTGCCTGCCTGCAATTTGGCAGTTCGAATCTCACCAGGCTCAAGGTTGACTCAGCCTTCCGTCCTTCCGAGGTGGGTAAAATGAGGACCCAGATTGTTGGGGGGCAACTCTGTAAAGCGCTTAGAGAGGGCTGTAAAGTACTGTAAAGCGGTATATAAGTCTAAAGGCTATTGCTATCTTCCTTCCGTCCCTCCCAGTGGTTAGAATGCAGTATTGCAGGCTAACTTTGCCCAATACCAACAGTTTGATCCTGACTGTCTGCAGGTTGACTCAGCCTTCCATCCTTCCGAGGACCGAGATATATAAGTCTAAGTGCTATTGCTATCTTCCTTCTTTCGTTCTTTCCTTTCCTTTCCTTTCCCTTCCTTCCTTCTTTCCTTCCTTCCTTCCTTCCTTCCTTCCTTCCTTCCTTCCTTCCTTCCTTCCTTCCTTCCTTCCTTCCTTCCTTCTTTCCTTCTTCCCAGTGGTTAGAATGTGGTATTGCAAGCTAATTCTGCCAACTGTTCGCTCCCAACCGGCTCAAGGTTGACTCAGCCTTCCATCTTTCCAAGGTGCGTCAAATGAGGACCCAGATTGTTGAGGGCAAGAAGCTGTCTCTGTAAACCGCTTAGAGAGGGCTGTAAAAGCCCTGTGAAGCAGTAGATAAGTGCTATTACTATGCACCGCCCCCCACCCCCTGCCCAGAAGGTGAGGGAATCCCCCTTGCCTTTGCCATGGGGCAGATCTCGGAGATGTTCCAGTTGCCACAATTATCGCACAGAGGGCACATGAGGAATTCCCCCCCACTGTTGCAGATCTCTTTCCTGGAAAAGGGGTGGAAAAGAGAAGAGGTGTCACGCCCGCATCTCTCCTATCCAACCTTCGTGAGCTGACAGCCTGACATTAGCAACAGGGTTTGTGGGGGGGGGGAGGGAGGGAAAGATTAGAAAGCAGGAAGAAGGGGAGGGAATGGAATCCCAGCTGAACCAGATGAATTGTGAGAAGCTTCAGCCAGCCAAGGACAGTATACAGAGCTGGGAACCAAGAACCTGTTTCCTAAATGAGATACAAGCACCTAATTGGACATTGAGAGATAACAGGGATGGCCAAGGGAAGGAGGGGAGAAGAAAATTTACCGTATTTTCAGAGTATAAGACGCACCGGAGTATAAGACACACCAAGATTTTGAAGAGGTAAATTTAAAAAAAACACATTTTGCACTCTGCAGGCATCCCAAACCCTCTGCACGCCTCATTTTTTGTGAAATGAGAGGCCTGCAAAATGCTCCTGGGGGCTGGGGGGGGGCAAATATGAGCAAAAAAGGCCAGTTTCCCCCCCCCAAAGGGCCGCTTTTTTTTTTTTTTTTTGCAAAAAACCGAGGCATGCATAGGTTTTGAGAGGCTTGTAGAATAGCAGTAGACTTATATACCGCTTCATAGGNTATGCTGACTCTGTAAACCGCTTAGAGAGACCTGAAAGGCCTATGAAGCGGTATATAAGTCTAACTGCTATTGCTATAAGTGCCAGCATGCGCAAGGACTCGCTGCTGCATTGTACTTACATCTTCATTCCTCATGCCCAGGAGCTGTCCGTATTGACCAGGGTAGCCTACAAACCTGCTGGGAAAAATGGAAGGTATTGAAAAGAACGAAAAGTCATCTGAGGATGGGCAGGTCCAGCCCTGAAGATCGGAAGCCCAATTCTTGCATGCTTGTTATGAACCCAGCACAGACTTTTGACAGGGAGAGATTCATATTTGGCTAATAAGGTTGGAGGAAGACTTGAGAGGGAAGACTGAGAAGACAGGGTGGGTCTCAGCTCAAGAGGAAGCTCCAGCTCAACCAGGAGGCTCCTCAAATCTGGATTGGCACCTCCCTAGATTTGTCAGAAGGGCCAGATTGCGCAAGGACCAGGGGTGAAATCTACTCACTGTTTACTATGTTTACTTACCTTCGCTACCCTGTTTTTCCCAAAAATAAGACCTCCCTGGATAATAAGCCCAATTGGGCTTTTGAGCGCATGCACTAAAATAACCCCTCCCCTGAAAATAAGCCCTCCCCGAAAATAGTGCAACACAGCAGAAGCCATGAGGTGCTCTACTGCCTCCTGCACCTCAAAAATAATAACACCTCCCCAAAAATAAGGCCAAGCGCTTATTATCGGAGAAACGCGGTACCAGTTCACAAATGTGAGCATGTGCATTCTCACTCTGCTCACACGAACCACCTCCATGTATGCGTGGCACCTTCCGTGCATGCGCGGCACCTTCCGCACATGGGCAGTGTCAAAAATGGATGTGATGAAGTGTGGGTGGATGGGTAGAGCCTGATACCGAGCGCGGCGGCAAATGTAAGTAGAACAGCAAGGGGGGAGGAAATCCGCTGTGCCACGTGATTTAGATTAGCTAGAAAGCAGGAAGTCCGATGATTCTAGCTAATATAAATCATGTGTCATAGCTGATCGTTGGAAATACGTCAGAAACCAGTTCACCTGAACCGAGTTATGCTCTTCAGACTGTAAGGAGCCCCAGCGGTGTTCATGTAGTTAATTAACGAGGTGCTACATGAGCATCTGTATCAAGGGGTACTTGTCTATTTAGATGATATCCTTATGTATGTATGTATGTATGTATGTACGTACGTACGTATGTACGTACGTATGTATGTATGTGTTGTGGCCCAGCAGGAGCCGTTGGAGCTGCCACCAGACTCCGACAGTGAGGGGCCCTATGATTCGGCTCTGGAGGATGTGGAGGACCCTGGACAGGGTTCCGACTCCAAGCAGGGCGCAGAGAGACTGGTTGGCCACCAGGTGGAGCCTGAGCCTTGGATCAGTGGGGAGGAGACAAGGGAGTGTGATCCTGACAGTGAGTTGTTCCGGGATGCACGCCATCGAAGAGCTACTCAGCGTCAAGAACAATTACGTAATTACAGGAGGTAATTACGCGCAGC